CTGTGGCGACTTAAGGCGACCTCGTGTTTTGGCGTGGGTTTTTCACCGTCATCTCCAGTATCACCGTTTGGCTTACCTGCGTTGAACATGGCATTTTTGACGTCGCAAACAGATTCGACGCTAGGCGTCCGTTTTCTGTGTAGTCGATGGCATCCTGACTTTTATCCGTGTGAAGGCATTTGTCGACGTAGTTTTATCAGTTTCTCCTTGAGAGATATCCTGATTATCGCTTGCGTAAAATATGACGTGTTTGATCCCCGGGGGTACGTGAAATTTTTAAAAAAATATATTATTTTATGATAAACACTGAATAATGAGTAATGTAATTTATTTAATTTATTTTAGATGTAGATTATGTACTATGTATAACTTGAATTATACACCAACAACTTTGGGGGGTACAAAGTTGAAGAGAAATTATATCTGGGGGTACGCGAATCAAAAAAGGTTGGATACCACTGGTATAGAGGAACGCCGTCAAGTTGAGATTCACAATTCCATATCAAGTTATACATGGAATAATTTTTTTGTCGTGAATTCCAACCACACAGAAATTGATTATTATTTTATACTCATGCTGAAGAGTCATTGATTATCCATCACACCGCGTTAACAAGGGCATCAAGGAATCTGGCCAATGTCGTCAGATTGAACAAGTAGCGGACTTCAAAACAAACGAGAATCGAAGTTTCTTCATAACCCGTAGTTTGGTTGGTGATGGAGCCACGTGACGCTGTTCTTCTGAAAACTTGCGAGGGAAGGTTATGACGTCCTGTTCTTTATCTACATGGCATCTCGGCAACATGCCTCATACTTTTTTACTCGTTACAAACTTTTGTCGACGGCGAGCTCCCCACATGCATGCCATGGCGACCATCAAGTCGCTGTATTTCGTTTGTAACAGTGTTAACACTTGCACGTTATGCCCGTGGCGGGCATTTGCTTACGTCACTTATGGGTTCAATGCGCGATGTTCATTTTTGAATTCTCTCGGACTTCTGACCAAGTGAACCTATTTACAAGTCCCAGAGATTAAAATTGATTCGTGCGCAAATTTACTTTATCTGGACCAAAAATTCTGCCACGGTGGTCTAGCGGTTAGAACGCTGGCCTTGTAA